CACTATGAATGGGTTAACAATAACACTTAGCAACAATGGGCAAAATACTGAATGATGCAGGAAAAGAAGATGGAAGGAATATAAAAGAGTCACTGTACCACAAAGAAGGCTCTAGGAATTAAGGGACTAACAATTGAAGTGCTTTAATAAGCTGATGCAGTGCTAGAGGCACTCACTCAACTATACCAAGAAACTTGGACGACAGCTACCTGGCCAACCATATTTGAGATATAGAATCAAGATCCATATTTGTGCCCATTCCAAAGAAATGGAACCCAGAGAGACCCATATTTGTGCCCATTACAAAGAAAGGTGACCCAACAGAATGTAGAAATTATTCAACAGTGTCATTAATATCACATACAATTAAAGTCTTGCTGAAGATAATTTAAAAATAATTACAGCAGCATTCTGACAGGGAGCAGCCAGAAATTCACGCCAGATTCAGAAGAGAATGTGGAATGAGGGATTTCAGTGCTGATGTCAGACTGATCTTGGCTAAAAGCAGTGAATACCAAAATTGTTTACTTGTATTTTATTGACCATGCTTTAAAAGCATTTGACTGTGTAGATCATAACAAACTATGGGCAATATTGTGAAGAATGGGAATTCCAGAACACTTAATTGTGCTCATGTGGAACCTGTGTATAGGTTGAAGGCAGTCATTCTAACAGAACAATACTTGTTGTTGTTAAGTGCCGTCAAGTCAGTTCCGACCCACAGCAACCCTGTACAGGGTTTCCTAGGAGTACTAGTGAGCCTGAACTGCCGACCTTCTGGTTCAAATCAACTTTGCAGTTCAGTGCATTAACCCACAACATCATACTTCTTGTTGTTGTTAAATGCCATCAAGTCGATTCTGACCCATAGCGACCCTGTATAGGGTTTACAAGGATTAGCTGGTGAGCTTGAACCACCGACCTTGCAGTTCAAACAAGTTGGCAGTCTGACGCATTAGCCCACAGTGCCACACCAGGAATGTCATATTAGGCAGTTTAAAATCAGGAAAGGTGTGTGCCATCATTCTTATTCAATCTGTATGCTGAGCAAATGATCTGAGTAGTTGGACTATATGAAGAATGTGGCATCAGGATTGGAGGAAGAATCCCAAACAACCTGTGATATGAAGACGTTGCTTGCTGAAAGTGAAGAGAACTTGAAGCACTTGCTGATGAAGATCACAGAATTCCATCTTCAGTATGGAGAACAACTCATTGTAAAGAAAACAAAAGTTACCACCTTGATAAATGGAGAAAAGATTGAAATTGTGAAAGAGTTCATTTTACTTAGAACCACAATCAATACTCATCAAAGCAGCAGTGAAGAAACCAAAGGATATAATCCATTGGGCAAATCTGCAGTAAGACTTCTTTAACATGTTAAGAAGCAAACATGTCACTTGGAGGACCCACGCCATGGTACTTTCAATCTTTTTGCAGGCATTCGAAAGCTGGACAATGAATAAGAAACACCAGTGGAGAATCGACATATATGAATCATGGTGTTGGTACAAAATATTAAATATACCATGGACTGCCAGAAGAAACAAATCTGCTTTGGAGTATGTATGGCCAGAATGCTCCTTAGAGACTTCATCTCTCATACTTTGGACATGTTGTCAGGAGGGACTAGTCCCTGGAGAAGGACATCATGCTTGGTAAATTGGAGGGTCAGCAAAAAAGAACCCCAGTAAGACGGATTGACACAGTGGCAGGAACAATGGGCTCAAATGTAACAATTGTGAAGATGGTACAGGATGGTTTTGTTCTGTTGTATATAGGTTCACATGAATCAGAGCCAACTGGATGGCACCTAACAACATACCCAGTTTTTCAAGGATTAAAAATTTATTTTCAAATATTCACAAGGGGTCACTCTTTTGGCTTATTTTTATAAAAACAGAACTCCATTTGTCTAAACTACTATAGCAATTGCACATGTCCCTTAGGATTTATTTTTATGTTCTACTTGGTGCTGGTTAGAACCCACATTATTTGAAACAAGGCAAAACTAAATTACTTTTATATTGTTGAAAACTAGTAAATAGCATCCTTCTAGATACACTGTCAGTAAATATAATGAAGTAAATCCCTTCTTATGTTAAAGTGCTGGAGAGCTTGGGAAGGGTGTTCTGTACACATGATTTCAGTAGAAAAGATGGATATGGAGAACGGATGGAAAAGGAGCCCGGCTTTCTAAGATGGTTTGGGGTGCAGAAAGGTTTAATCATTCCTCAATGTCATCCCATTCTAAGTGTCAAAGGTGAAATCTGAATTTTGAAAGTCTCTCTGTGCTTTCTATTGTACCTAGAGTTGGCTCCCCAAAGGAAAAGGACAAAAAGAGGGAAAGAGAAAATAAGGGACGAAAAAGAGGATTAAAAAAAGGAAAAGAAAGAAGGATTAAGACAGGTCAGGGAAACACAGTGAAGGAGAGGAGACAGGTTGCTGTAAGTACTATTGAGTAGGTTCCAACTCCTAGCGACCCTATCTGTATAGGATGTTCGGGTAAAGATGGTAGGTTGTATTACTGACACTGTAGTTAGCAGTCCAGTGTTTATCCTAATCCCACACCAGGGATCTAGGAGAGAGATGACAGAAAAAAAGGAAAGGGAGAGAATACAAAATCGGTAAAAACTGGTGGTCTTCAAAGTTCTCTTCATATCACCTTCTAGGTCAATCGAAGTCCTTAAATTGGAAGTTGAGCGATCAAGAACGAAGCCCCGCACGCCCCCTGCTGGACAGACCAGGTGCTCGGTGTTGACTGCACATTAGTGTCACAAAACCAAAAACCAAACGGGTAGCCATTGAGTTGATTGTATTTCATAGCGACCTTATAGGACGGTGTCTCTGGAGGATAAACACTGGACGATGAACTACAGGGTCGGACGAACTACAGCCGCTCCACCATAGAAGCGGAGGCCTTCTGCTCCCCAAAAGATTTACAGCCTCGGAAACTCTATAAAGGGTCACTATGAGTCAGGAGACCTGGTGTGCCGCTGTGGGTTAATGCGCCAGACTGCAAAGCCGTTTGAACTGCAAGGTCAGCGGTTCAAGCTCACCAGCTGCTCCTTGGAAACCCTATACAGGGTCGCTATGGGTCGGAATCGACTCAATGGCATTTAACAACAACAACACGAGTTAGAACCGACTCAACGGCACTTACCAGCACCACCAATATTTACGGAAGCCGAAGGAACATAGCTTTCTCACATTGAGAGACTAGTGGGTTCCAACCGATGACTTTTCTTTTATCTGTAGAACTCTTAATTATTGCGCCACCAGGGCGAAAGAGTTCTTCTTATAAGTATAAGTATTACCCGGGCCCCACCTCGGACCCACAGAGCCTTTCTGGGTTGGTCCGTTTGTAGGGAGTTTTAAAGTACAGCCGGGGCTGAGAGCGCCGCAGCGCGGGTGAAGGTGAAGAATAAAGGGCAACAGACTCAGAGACTTCCCTCCGGTGGTGGGCTGGCTGCCACGCACAGGCGCCCTCGGGATGGGCTCAGTACCCACGCGTCCCGGAAAGAGGGACATTAGCACTTCGGGGTTTGGGACCAATGGCGTGCTCCGGGCTGACCCGACTGGACCCATTTACAGATACAGGCCTGGGCGCCGCGTCCAGACTCCGGGTTGTTTTGCGATCTAGTGGAGAGAGCGATTTGACATTTTTCCCACTCTGCTGCCACCAAGCAGGTAATTAACGCCGCTCCAAACTCACATTGGTGAAGTGTGGGACGAGTGACCACGCCTTCTTCCGGGCGAACTTTATCCGACACTAGCTAACCGACAACCTTTAAAACTAAAAACGGAACTAAAGAAGAGTGCAAGCGCGAGCTCATGGTTTAAAAGGTGGAATCTGCACAACCCACTGCTCTTCCTTCCTACGCGCCTCTCGGTGGCAAGGGAAACTCCTTTGGTCGCCGGAACACCTAGAGGATTTCCTTCCGACCCACTTCCCCTCACTTTCCCCAGCGCCCCTCCTCCCCCCGTTGGGACGTGGGGACACCAAAACGCTAGTCTCTGGGCGAAGCCGCCCAGCCCCACCACCTTCCAGCACGAACCCCGCCGGGCGCAGCGTCGGCTTTCCGGCCCTTTAAGGCCGGTGACTTCCGCCGACAACCTCCGGGGCGGGGAAAGCAAAGTGGGCACGACGCTGCGGCCGCTCCGGAGCCGTGAGTACCCGCGGGCTGGCGCCTCGGTCTGGCTAGTGGGGCGGTCTGGGCGGTCCTCAGCCCTTGGTTCCGGAAACTCACGGCTCTCCGGGGTTGGGCGGGCGTCCATTGCGGCCGGAGGGTCCCGACAGGCCCTGTAGACCCCATCCCGGGCTGGCTCCCGGGGTCGGCGGGAGGGAGGACTCACTATCGGCTCGTTAGAGGGGCGCGGGCGACTCTAGGAAGCTCGGGGGGAGTCTTCCGAGCCACAGACGCCAGGATCCGCCAGGGCCGAGTCCTCGCGTTCCGTTCGAGCGATTCGGAATGCACGAGGGCCTTTCGCTTCCAGTCTCGGGAAGCTGGAACAGCCGCTACTGTAAATCTCCGGCTGGCGTCATTAAACAGAATAATTAATCAAAACGTTAACACCAAGGCCAAGTACAGGTTTGCTTCCATTGTTGTTACTTATTTGGGAAAACACACAAACCAAGCTGGAACCGGCAATTTAGAAAGCCCGAGTTTGTGTCCGGTGGTCCTCAGCGGACACCGTGTTCTGCACACCGGCTTCACGGTGTGGTGCCGAGAGTGTAAGACAACGTAAAGTCCTGAAATCAAGAGCTTAACCTCACATCCCATGAGACTTAAGAAAAGAGCCTTGTAAAAGGAATTAGACACAGATTTCTCTCTCCCCCTATTCCTCTCTCCCTTTCTTCTTGACTTCACATTCCTTTCTTCTTTTGAACATAACCAACTTTGTGGCTATTTTACAGATAGTGCTTTCCGAGGTCAGTGCTTACCCAGGATTCTCTTGCATGACAGGTTTGAGGGAGCAGAGAGCTGGGCGTGGGCGAAATGGCACTAGTTCCCTACGATGAGGCTGCCGTGATGGGGTTACAGAAATTCCACAAGCCTCTTGCCACCTTCTCTTTTGCAAACCACACTATCCAGATCCGACAGGACTGGAGGCAGCTGGGAGTCGCTGCCGTGGTTTGGGATGCGGTGAGTACGCACGGGGGACCTCCAAAAACAGCCTATTTTTGATGATAAGACTGGTGCACAGATTATTTACTAATAAAAAAATAACTTTCTTGTGAGATCGCCTATATACCATACAATTCAGCCTTTTGACACTTACAGTTCAGTGTTTTTAGTATAGAATTGTGCGACTATCACCACAATCAATTTTCGAAGGTTTCATTACCTTCCTTATAAAAATAAAAAAATATATATCCATTAACAGGAGTCCTGGTGTGGCGCTGTGGGTTAATACGCCAGCCTGCAAAGCCGTTTGAACTGCAAGGTCGCTAGTTCAAGCTCACCAGCTGCTCCTAGGAAACCCTACACAGGGTTGCTATAGGTTGAAACCGACTCGATGGCATTTAACAACAACAACAACAAACCCTAGTCGCCCCACCATAGATTGCAGTGTAAGGGTGAGTGACTGAACGGTCGCCCTGTTGTTGTTAAGTGCCATCGTGTCTGTTCCCACCCATAGTGACCCAGGATAGGGTTTCTGAGGATCAGCTGGTGAGCTTGAACTGCCGACCTTGCTTGCAGTTCAAACCTGTCAGGGCAGTGGAAGGAAAGCGGAGACTACTTTCAACACCCACTAACTTGGCCTTTTTTAAAAAAAACATTGCACAGAGAATATTGTAAAGTGATAATTCCCCAAATAAAAGATTCTGTATTTTCTTTATGTTTTCCATCGTTGTAAGCATATTGCAAAAAATGCCTATTCCTCACTTAACTGTTATTTGATATTTCGTATTTGAAACAACTTCCAAATGATTCTTAGGCAGGTTTTCATTGGTTGGTCCCCATGTAGGGGACGACCTCCACAGACCACATTGAACAATATACTGGAGGTCCCAGCCATGACTATAACCCGTGACCAAGACCAGACCACAGGTGGGATGGTGGGACATCTCCCTTTGGTCAGGTTTGGCCATGGAGGGTGGGATAGAGAATGGGAGGGTGATGGCATGGCGATGTGGGTGGGTTAGGGGAGGTTGGGCCAAAGGGTGCAGACAGGAAAAGAGGGCCGTGTGGGTTGAAGGTGTACTAACGGCCCTGCGGATGGTGGGTGAAGGGCATCACCACCCCAACCTCAAGGGCTCTAGGTGGTGGAGAAAGCAAGGTGGGAAAGGTGCCTGTCTGGCCACCCAAGAGTTGTGGGGGTGAAGCACATGATGGGGAGGGGACACTGCGCTGTTGTGTGTTCCAGCTCTTGCCTATCTGGTCTTTGGAACCTCAACACACGAATAAGTAAGGGGTGACGTAATTGGGCTTTTGTTTCTCCCCCTCAAATAAAGCACAGTAGAGTGATGTGTGTCCTCAGCATCTAGCCTCACACCTGGGACTCAAGAGTTCAGTTAATGTAAATAAATGATTGGCATCTAAACTACTTTACATTATTAACTGTGTATTAGAGGTGTTAGGTAAGCAATTAGGAATAAAAATGTTCATGTATTCTAAACCCAGTAATGCCACTTCTGGGATCCAATCCAAGGTAACTACATGAAAGGTCTTCATGTAAGGAGCTATAAGGACAAATAATGGTGTGTCCTTATATTGCCAGCTATAATATATCTCTTGGAATATTATGTGGCCTTGAAAAACTATTAAAATTATGTTAAAAGTACAGGTACTTTACAGTTACAAGCAAATGCGCCCTCACACATCATATACCCAAAATTGTGGCTAAAAATTTCTGAAGTTCAGTATCTGTGGCAAGGACTCCAGTGGGACACGAGAGAGAAGGAAGGAGAAGGAAGCTCTGGGGTTTGGACCCTGCTCTGCTTTTCTCCTTGTGGCCTTCCTGACCTGAGCTTCATTTAAGAACTGAGCATTCCCTTAAACAAAATCCCAGAGATTGTTCATGCCAGTTCTTCCAGAAGAGTTTTTAAGCCTTAGGCATGAGAAGACTATGAGAAAGACTGAAACAATACTTCTCTGAGTCAGCAGCGCTTAGAAGCTGCAGCTCAGGTCCTGTGTGTGTGTGGTTGAGTTGGGAATTGGACCTCGTGGTGGGAGGGGCGCGTGTGTGTGTGTGTGTGTGTGTGTGTGTGTGTGAGCTGTCGTCCTGCCAGTGCATAGCCTACCTAAACCTTGCAGCTCTTAAAGCACTTGTCAACCTTAATCTCAATGACCTTGTGTTTTGACACAGGCCATTGTCCTTTCCACGTATCTGGAGACGGGAGCCGTGGAGCTCAGGGGCTGTTCTGCTGTGGAGCTGGGAGCCGGCACGGGGCTGGTGGGCATAGTGGCTGCCCTGTTGGGTGAGTGTGGGAGAGGAACACATCAAGAGGTGCCTCTGGTTTTTCCAGCACACACCCACTATTGGCTTTCCTCTTGTTAGGTTGTTTTCTTTCCCTTCTACTTATGAATTGGGTGCCAGCTGTTGGTGCTCTGAACTCCCGTAGGATTGCCAGGTTCATTTCTTCTCTCCCTGTCTCTCTCTCTCTCTTCTTCCTGTTAGTTATACTTCTCAGAGGCGGTAGCTTTGCCCCCTTCAGTCTCTAATCTCATTATTATTACCTGAAAGCAACTTAGGCTTTAAGGAGACTAATGTGCGATTGGACTCCTGGTGTGGCGCTGTAGGATCAGCACTGGATCACAAACCAAAGGTCAGCTGTTTAAACTCACCAGCTGTTCCTTGAAACCCTATACAGGGTCACTATGAGTCAGAACCCACACATGTCATTTAACAGCAACAATCTTACCTATAAACTAATGTACATAGTTTTTGTGGTGGTGTTGGGTTTTTGTTTTTTTTTACAGTTTAAGGTACTTCCTCATTTCCATTGCATGTAACCCTGTGAGGAAGGTAGACTTTAGAGCATCTTTGCATCATAAATGAGGAAACTCAGCACACATACATACAAAGGGACTTTAAAAAGTTCGTGGAAAAATGGAATTACAAGGCAATGGGATTTTTCTGAGTTTTTTGAAGTCCCCTTGACTAAGATGCTTTGTTTATCATAAGCATTTCTCTATACTATCACAGTTCTTATATTTATTATTTATAGTGACTGCAAAATATTAGGCTAGAGGGGTTTGATGTAGAAATCTGATGGTAATAAAAAGTTAATCTCTTTAAAATGGAAAAGTGAAAGTTAAAACAAGCAGTGGTTTTGAAATGCCAGAAAGGGTCATTTGACTCTTTGAAGCATTTCCATGTTTTGAAACTTTTTATTTATGAATAAATATTCATGAATTTGGGAGTACCTTCCAAGTTCAATGTGCTGCACATCGAGCCGTGAAGACGCGGGCAGGTCTCTGCTCACAGAGAGCTTACGCTCCAATTTGAATGAGGCAATAAAGACAAATCACAGAAGAATTTCCCCAAGTGGTAAATGCTGTGCAGAACATACATATAGGGCGAGGCAATTTTCTTGTTAAAAGTAAAAACAGCTGCTACTTATTAAGCAATGCCTCTATTTTGTGTGTTGTGTATTTGCCATCTCTTGTTCTCACAGCAGTTCTGTGATCAGTCTACTAAGAGCTTCCCCAAGCCATGAAGGAAGGTTGATGGAGGTTAAGCAATTTGTCCAAGACCACACAACTAATAGATTGCAGAGTCAGAATTTGAATCCAGATCTTACAAACCTTGGTTCTTAGTTTGGAAATCTCCTCAGGTGACTGCAATGCAGGCTTCATGCTATTTGGTAACTATTCTTAGAAGGAAAGTATCTCACCCTTAAGGCAAATATTGGAGTCTAACCACAAGGTCGGCAGCTCAAACCCACCTTGGAAACACTCTTCAGGGTCACTATGAATCAGAACTGACTCTTAACAACAACAAGGGAAGGTTCTGTAAATTGGGGCGGGGCCAGGGAATGTGGATTTCAAAAGTTTCGTAAATGATTCTGATGCCCAACCACTGTCCTAAAATATATGCTCAACAAGAAACTGTCTCTATTTTTCTATCATTCTAGTGTGAATCTCCTTTGACATGTATGTCTGACTAAAAACTGGGTTTCTCTCCTTGAGTACTTTCCAACATCTCACATAATACATGTTTAAACCCAAACTTTTCTTCCCTTTCCAAGCTCCTTTTTCTTCCTGTGTTCCAACTTGGCATCACTAAACAAGTAGTTACCCAAGCCAGCATCTTGACTCTTCCCCTCCCAGCCTTCCCTGAGCCCTGCTGATTCCATTTATCAAATTTCTTGAACCCATTTCTCTCTTCTGACCCCTAGCTACCACATCACTTGGTCTCCTGAGAGTAGCTTTGTAATATTTCATGTAACAGAGGAAGTCTTTTATTTCAAATGAAACTAAGGTTCCAGAGACTGAGCTCTTTTCTGATGTTCTGCTTCGTGGAAACCTGGAACTCAAACTCGGGTTGTAAGACACAACTCTGGACCGAGCCCTTATTACCTGCCTCCTGTATGATCTTATCCATTTCTGCTTCTGCTTTGTCTTCTCAGCTCTGCTTTCCCAGTAGCAGTCCAAGTGGTACATCGAAAATGTAAAGCAATCAGATGACCTATTAAACCCTCCTGTGTCTCCTGCTGCTGGCAGTCTAAGTCCAGGCTTATGAGCTTGGCTCTGCAATCACACCCTGCCTAACTCTTCACTACCACTGCACTGCTTGATGTTCTTGGGACACATGGGGTAGGTCCAGGCATATGCAATCTAACAACTGAAGTATTTGCATCACTGTCACACTGTGGATTGGCACAGTGACAACATCGATAGACTCAGACATGGCAACAATTGTGAGATTGGCCCAGGACCGGGCAGTGTTTGCATCTGTTGTGCATAGAGTTGCTACGAGTTGGTACTGACTCGATGGTACCTAACAACAACAACAAATCACACTTTCCACAACTTGTCTGTCAGTTTGTCATTCTGTGGTGGTATGTGTGTTGCTATGTTGCTGGAAACTATGCCACTGGTATTTTAAATCCCAGCAGGGTTACCCATGGTGGACAGGTTTCAGATGAGCTTCCAGACTAAGACAGACTAGGAAGGAGAAGTGCACCACTTCTGAACATTTAGCTATTGAAAACCTTAAGAATAGCAGCAAAGCATTGTCTGATATAATGCTGGAAGATGAGCCCCTCAGGTTGTAAGGCACTCAGATATCACTGGAGAAGAGCTGCCTCCTTAAAGTAGAGTTGACCATACTGGTGTGGATGGAGCAAAACTTTTGGGACCTTCATTTGCTTATGTGGCAAAACTCAAAATGAGAAGCAGCTGCAACTATCTATTAATAATTGGAACATTGAATGTGCAAAATATGAATAGGAAAATTGGAAGTTATAAAGAATTAAATGGAATGCATAAAAGTCAATATCCTAGACATTAGGAAGCTGAAATGGACAGGTATTGGCCATATTGAATCAGATAATCATATAATTTAGTATGCTGGGAATGACAAATTGCAGAGGCATGGCATTGCAAAAGCATTTCAAGATCTATCTTGAAGTACAGTGCTGTCTAGATTGGATACTATCCATATGCCTATAAAGAAGATCAGTTAATACCATTATTACTCAAATTTATGCACCAATCACTAAAACCAGTGATAATGAAATTGAAGAATTCTACCAGTTTCTTAAGTCTGAAATGATCAAACATGCAATGAAGAAGCATTGATAATTATTGGTGATTGGAATGCAAAAGTTGGGATCAGTTATTGGAAAATATGGCCTCGATGATAGAAATGATGCTGGAGATAGCTTGATAGAATCTTATAAAACCAATGACTTACTCATTGCAAATGCACTTTTCAGCAATAGAAACAAACTATACACATGGATCTTACCAGATGTGTTATACAGGAATCAAATCGACCACATCTGTGGGAAGAAACAATGGAGAAGCTCAATATCATTGGCTAAAACAAGGCCAGGGGCCAACTGTGGGACAGGCCATCATTTGCTCATATACAAGATCGTGCTGAAGCTGAAGAAAATTGAAATAAGTCCATGAGAGCCAAAATATGACCTGAATGCATCCTACTGGAATTTTGAGATCATCTCAAGAACAGATTTAATGACTGAAGACCAGAAGAGTTATGGGGTGACATCAAGAACATCACACATGAAGAAAACAAAATGTCTTTAAAAAGACTGGAAAGACAAAAGTGGATGTTAGAAGAGACTCTGAAATTTGCTCTTGAATACAGAGAAGCTAAAGCACCTGGGAGAAATGATGGAGTAAAAGAACTGAACAGAAAAATTCAGAGGGTAGCTCAAGAAGACAAAGCCAGGTATTATAATGAAATGTGCAGTGGCTGGAGTTAGAATACCAAAAGGGGAGAACATACTCAGCATTTTTCAAGCTGAAAGAACTGAAGAAAAAATTCAAACCTTAACATGCTATATTGAAAGATTTCATGAAATGATGGAATACAAGTTGGAATCTTTCAACAAACTAATGTAGCACTGGAGGCACTCATTTATCTATACCAAGAAAGTTGGAAGACAGCTTCCTGACCAGCTGATTGGAACTGAGCCATAGTTATGTCCTTTCTAAAGAGAGGTGACCCAACAGAATGCAGAAATCATCGGATAGTATCATTAATATCATATGCAAGTAAAATTTTGGTAAAGATAATTCAAAAACAGCTGCAACAATACATTGACAGGGAACTGCCAGCAATTCAAGCCAGATTCAGATGAGGATGTAGAACGAGAAATACCTTTGTTGGCATTCAGATTGATCTTGGATGAAAGCAGGGAATACCAGAAAGATGTTTACCTGTGCTTCATTGACTATGCAAAGAATTTCAACAATGTGGATCGTGACACGCTATGGACAGCATTACAGAGAATGATATTCCAGAACAGTTAATTGTGCTCCTGAGTAACCTGTACATAGACCAAGAGGTAATTGTTTGAACAGAACAATTTAAATAGTTTAAAATTGGGAAAGGTGTGTGCCAGTGTTATATTCTTTCACCATACTGTATGCTGAGCAAATAATCTGAGAAACTGGATTATGTGAAAAAGAATGTGGCATCAAGATCGGAGAAAGACTCATTAACAACATACTTTATGTAAATGATACAACCTTGCTTGCTGAAAGCAAAGAGGACTTCAAATACTTACTGATGAATATCAGCGTCCACAACCTTAGGCATAGCTTGCACCTCAGTGTAAAGAAAACAAAAATCCTCACAACTGGACCAGTAAACAACATCCTTATAAATGGAGAAAAGATTGAAGTTGTCAAGGACTTAATTTTGCTTGAATCCACCATCAATACTTGGGAAATAGCAATCAAGATATCAAACGATGTATTGCATTAGGCAAATCTGCTGCAC